CTTCTGGGCGGGCCAATGGGGGGCGCCTCCAGCCCATTCTGCAGAAGGGGAAGCTGAGACTCTCCGGGACTGAGATGCCAGCCGGGGATGGGGGCTGGTCGGGGCCTGGGATCCCACGGACCCGGGTTCACGTGGCCCTACGTTTACACCCGTGTGGCTACTGCTGTGCCTGGAGTCCCCCATCCGCGCCAGTGGGGGCCTGGCCCTGGCTCTGTTCAGGCTCTGGCTAGCGGCGGCGCCTTTCTGTGCCTCAACTTCCTCATCCGCGCAATGGGTGGAGAAAGGCACCTCCACTTCCCCCTCACTGGCTCAGAATCAGCAGGTGCCTGGGCTGAGCACTGAGCCTGCCCCTGGGAGGAGCCTGGTAAACAGGGCTCTTGCCTTGACTGGAAACAGTCGCCTGGCCGAGGCTGGGGCCGTGTGGGTTTCAGATGGAAGGAGTGTTCCCCGAGGGAAGCGACCATCGGGCAGGGTCCCCATGGCTCCCCTGGGCCCGGCTGAGCTCCCCAGGCTTCAGTCCTCTCCCTGAGCCGGACCTGGGGTGTCCTCACCCTCCCACAGTCCCCCCTGCCACTGCCCAGCCCCTGTCATGCCCCCATCAGCTGGTGACCTGCAGCCTTGGAGGAAAGCACTTGTGCCTCAGCTGGTTTGGAAGGCTCTGGGTCCTAGGGCATCAGGCCGGAGCCCTCAGAGGGTGAGGGGGGGTGCTGGACTTGGGGGGCAGAGAGAGGGGAGGACAGAGGGAGGCAGGCTGTGCTCCTTGGCAGCGCCCGCTCAGACTAGGGTTCCATGACCTACTCTCTAACGAAGCTCTCCCAAGGGGTACTGCCTGGTCCCCGACAGGCCCCCAGTGCTCCCAGGGGACCTGTGGAGTGAGGGGAGGGCCTCTGCAATTGTGGGAGGTTGGGTATATTGATTTCAAATCACTTCCATCCTGGTACAGGGGGGCTTAGCGGGTGTCCTGGCCCAAAAAGAAAAGAGGAGACCTGCTGAGGTGGGGACTGTACCTGAAGCTTTGAATGCTGTCAGTTCCACAGCCTGAGGACAGAGGGGCTGTCACAGGGGTGGCTCCCACTCCTTCTGCTGCCCCTTGCCCTGGGGATCCTTGGCTATAGGGGCCTCTGCCAGCTTGCGGCCAGCAGCTCCCCGTCCCTGGGCCCCTTCAGCCCAGGAACAGAGAAACAGATCCTAGGGAAGCCCCCATCCCGGCCCTACCCAGGCCCTGTGGCTTCCTGACCCTGCCTGCTGGCCTTGCCAGCCCCCTAGCAGAGCCCTGTGTGACCCACGCTGTCCCAGCCTCACCTGTCTCTCCGGGTTTGCAATGGAGGAGAAGGCTGAGGGGGTTCTAGGGCCATAGGTCCCTAGTGAGGAAAATGCAAACTTTTCAGAGATGAAGGCAGGGAGAGCTCTCTCTGCTCCCCCATCCTGGGAGTGGGGCCCTCAGGATCCAATACTCTAAGAATCCACTCCAAGGTTTACCTCACAGATTAGTAATGAGGCCCAGAGAGGGAAAGGAACTTGCCCAGGGGCACACAGGAGGTGACTGGGAGCTAGGATTGGAACCTCTGGCCTGGCCTCGAAGTCATTCAACCCATGCCCTGCCTCAGAGTCCCGACCCCATTTACTCACCATCTCCAGGAATCCCCTAAACCCTTCTGCATGCAGCCCCAGGGAAGGTCACCCTGGACAAGTCTATGCCTGGGCCAGGCCCCAGGAGCCCGGGTTTCCTGGCAGTGGGGAATGAGTGACAGGACATTGCTCAAGCCACAGGGCTGCAGAGTTTCCTGGGCCCTGGTTTCCTTTTTTCAGATGGACTAAAAGGATCTGCCCTTGTCCTCCCAGCTCTGCCTGAGTGCTGGGGAAACTGAGGCACTGGGCAGCATCCCCACCTGGGTGCTGAGAGTACCTCTGAGAGCCGCGAGTCTCCGGGGTGGAGCCAAGGCTATGGGGCTCCCTCGGGTTGCCTCCCAGGAACCTGGGGGCCTCAGGCTGGTCCCCCAGCTGGCAGGGCTGGCACAGGACTGAAAGGAGAGGATGTGGGGGCTGGGACCTGGCTCTGGGGGCCTCCCGCCCCCACCCACACCCCCAGCGTCCTGAGCACCTCGGCCACCTTCTTCTCAGCCATCCTCTGCAGGGCGCTCCGCACCTGGGGGAACGCTTGGAGGTCAGGTCAGGGACCCTCCCCACCCCTCGGACCCCCCTCCCTGCAGCCGGCGCCCCCAGACTCACCTCGTCATTGCAGGCAGCATAAACCAGGAAGATGTACAGGCCCTGAGGACAGACCCAGCGAGTGGGCGATGCCTCAGCCCTGAGCCCCCGACCCCATCCCCCATAGCCTGGCCTTGCCTGGGGTCCCGGCGCCCCGCAGGGGCAGAGACACTCGCAGAGATACCCAGAGACAGGCTGATGGGCAGTAAGTCGGCCCTGCCCTCGTGCCTGCCTGCGGAGGGGTAGCTGTGGCATTTAGCAGGACGGGGGAGCAGAAGGGGTTTTGTCCCATGCAACCCCAACCTTCAGCCTCTGCTCACCAGGCAGCCTCTCTGACTCCAGCCAGTCCTCTGTGCCCCATCCTGGGCCTGTCCCATCCTCACCGTCTCGCTATGCTGTGCGGTAGGGTTAGGAGGGGGACACCTTCCTGAGGCTCCAAGGCCAAGTCAGGTCCTGGGACAACAGCCCTGGGAGTGCCTTCTCCCTGTGCCTCTAGCTGAGTGGCCTTCACTTCCCTGAGTCTCCGTCTCTTCATCTGGAAAGGGGAGATGAGGCCGGGACTTGGCTCCTGAGGGGATGGGAGGTGCTGCCTGTGAGGGACTCACACAGTGGCTGGGGCGGAGCTGGCTCCCTCTTCCCACACCGTGGGACCAAGAGGCCCTCACCACCCTCCCTGCACCATCACATCTGGGCCCTCACTTGACCCTCGCAGCAAGTCTGTGGTGGGGGTGGATTCATTCTCCGCATTTGATGGAGAGGGACCAGGAGCTGGGGGTGGGGGACAGAGGAATGGGTCCTAAGCTCCAGTGTGGTCCAGCCCTGAGGCTGTCCTGGGATCACCCCTGGGCAGTGTCACAGGCAGCTGCTCCTGTGCTGCGGCCCAGGCAGGACGGCACAGGTGGGGGCCTGGAATTCCCTGGGGCCTTCCAGCCTCCCAGGCCTGAAAGCTGGAGCCCAGGAGCCTGGCTGGTCTCCCTGGTGCCCAGGCACCAACTGTGGTGATACCATCACCCCCATTCTCCAAGACAGACCCCCAAAGACTCCCAGGTCCCCACGCCCAGCCTGTTCTTTCTCTGTAGCCTCTGCACTGCCTTCTCCATTCCATTTCCTTCTACCCACTCCTCACCACCCAAAGGCATCTTTCCAAATGCTGACCCAAGAACACCAGCACCTGCCTGACGCCCTGCATGGCTCCCAACTACCCCAGGACAAAATTTGAGCTTTTCTTTCTTTCTTTTCTTTTCTTTCTTTTTTTTTTTGGACAGAGTTTTCACTCTTCTTGCCCAGGCTGGAATGCAATGGCACAATTTTGGCTCACTGCAACCTCCACCCTCTTGGTTCAAGCGATTCTCTTGCCTCAGCCTCCCGAGTAGCTGGGACGACAGGCACCTGCCACCACACCCAGCTGATTTTTTGTATGTAGTAGAGATGGGGTTTCACCATATTGGTCAGGCCGGTCTTGAACTCCTGACCTCAGGTGATCCACCTGCCTCAGTCTCCCAAAGTGGTGGGATTACAGGCGTGAGCCACTGCGCCTGGCCAAGTCTGAGCTCTTTACGACAGCTTTGAGGACCCTATGCTGTCTGCCCCCCACACTCCCTCCTGCCCCATTTCTCACCAGCCTTACCCCTCATGCCTCCCCGCCATTTGACCCCACCATGCCCCTCCCCCGGCTTAAAACATTCTTTTCCCCCTCTCCATACAGCTGTCAGGTCTTGGCTGAGAGTGACCCCCTCCAGGTGGCCCATTCTGCCTCTGAGGAGCTGTTCCTCTGTCCCCACACTGCCTTGACCAAGGCCCGTTTTCTCTTGGCCTCAGTCACGACACACTGTGGTTGTGTGGTTTTAATGTCTGCCTCTCCCTCAGGCTGAGAATGTCACAGAATTCTTTGGCCCTGGGCATCTCCATGTCCCCCAGCGTGCAGGCCAGCCAGGGCACGGGGAGGTGCTAGGGGAGTGCGTGTTGAACAACTGAACAAAACAATGAGCTCACACTCGTGGGATTCCTAGCACGTGCCAGGTATCGTGCGTAGCCTTGGCAAATGTTATGTCAGCCAAACTCCACGATGATCCCATGAGGCGGGTGGGAATCTGATCCCCTTCAGTTAGATGTAGAAATGGAGGCCGGGTGCCACTTCTCCAGGCCTCACAACAAGGCTCTGTCCACCAGGGCAAGTGTGAGCTACGGCTGGTTATGGCAGTGAGGCTTTGCTCTCCCTGGACACAACCCGGCACAGGGGCCAGAAAGATACAAATGACTTACAGAGAGTGAATGAGGTTGGGCAGAGTTTCATCCCTGAGTCCCAGGCCTCCTCCCTGGTCACTTGGTCACCCTCCTAAGAGTGGGATGTACCCAACTTATACCCAAGACTGACGGAGAGTGACAGGGGGATAGGGATGGAGGTGGAGTGCGAGGGGAAGACACAGAGAGACCTCGGTGGACACAGAGAGAAAGAGACCAAAGGAGAGGTGAAGGGAAAGGCTGTGCCTGGGGAGAGGGACTGAGAGAACAGGGCCCTGAGCCCAAGAGGGTCATGTGACTGTCAGCGGCAGGGCCCAGACCCCACTCCTGCCTTCTGAGCTCCTGCCTAAGGCAGCCTCTCCTTGCCTTCACCAGGTGAGCATCTCAAGGGTGATCTGAGGCTGCCTTAGGCAGGGGCAAGAGAAGGTCATGCACATGGAGATGGAGAGGCAGAGATAAAAAGACCGGTGTCAGAGGGCTGGGCATGGTGGCTCATGCCTGTAATCCTAGCACTTCGGGAGGCCGAGGCGGGAGGATCACTTGAGGTTAGGAGTTCAAGACCAGCCTGGGTAACATGGTGAGACCCTCGTCTCCACTAAATATACAAAAATTATCCAGGTGTGTAATCCCAGCTACTCAGGAGGCTGAGGCAGGATAATCGCTTGAATCTGGGAGTCAGAGGTTGCAGTGAGCCGAGATTGTGCCACTGCCCTCGGAATGAGACTCTATCTCCAAAAAAAAAAAAAAAAAAACAACAACAAAACCAACCAACAAAAAACAATCCGAGGAGAGAAGTGGAGAAACATGAAGACAGACCCAGAAAGAGCCAGGTGGGGTCAGTGCCAGAAAAAACATCCACGGCCAGAGGGTGAGAGGGGCACAGGGAGAGGGGGATAGTGACAGAGGGGGAGCCTGAGAGACAGAACCAGAGAAGATTCAGGGACCAAGATTGGGACAGAGAGAGAGGAAGGAGTGACGGGAGGGAGCTGAGACGGTGCGACGGTGGCATTGCCCCATGGCTGTGTCTCTGCCCACCTGAGAGGCACAGGTGAGGACGGAGAGCATCAGGGATCCAACGCCCCATGATGTGGAGAGGGGCACCTGGGAAAGAGCTGGAGGAATCGCCATGGCAACAAGATGCCACCACCTGCCCCATCGTGTGACAGGTGGAGAAGCCACGCCAGGGGCCAGCCAGACTGAACCCAGCCATGAAGCCCTGGGGGGCGTGGGGCTTGGAAGAGGGCTCCCCTGCCTCGTCCCCTCACTGAACACTTCATTTCTTCATCGTGGCCATGGTCTTCCTGCTCTACCAAGGGCAGCTCCACAAATCCAGGGGCTTTTTGCTACCTCATTTCCTGCTGTGGCCTGGCACCCAGCACAGTGCCTGGTACACACCGGGCGAGCTGTGAATAGCACACGGATGAATGAGTAACTGGGTCCAAGCATGCTCCCAGGGACCAGCCAGGACCCATCTGCAGTCAGCTGGATGCCCTGTGGCTGAGAACACAGACTCTGGAGTGGTGTCCCAGCATGGATGCTGCCTCCTGGGGGGCCTTGGGCAGGTGACCCCATGAGGTCTCAGTTTCCCCACTTACAAGGCTTGTTGAGAGATAAAAATAGGAGCCTGGCCTGGGGCTCAGAGGGAGCACCCAGGCACTGTGAGTGGCTGTTACTGCCTTGGCTCCCATTCTTCAAGGAAAAGATGGAGGGTCCCCAGCTCGGAGGGCACACGGACCCTGGGTGGAGTTTGCACCTGACTTCCTGAGCCTGGCACAGTCCAGCCTGGGTCCTCGCCCACCTACCTTTTGGCCCTGAGGGGGACCCGGGCCGGGAAAGCGGGGAGCAAGAGGGGCAGGTGACAGGGAGAGGTGCCTGGCGGAATGGTCCAGGGAGGTCGAGGGAAAGGGAGGGGCCAGGAAGGGCCTTGGTGGGCCTCCCTGACTCCCAGCACCCAGCCCCCTGGCTGTCACTGCGGTTAATGTTCTGGTCCTCCACAGACCTGCCAATCTCCCAAGAGGGACCTAGTTGGCCCCCTCCCTGACACAGGCCCTGAGAGACCCGGGGAGCCCGGGCCCTTTCCTGCAGCCTCATGAACAGGCCTCCTCACCAAACCTCTTCTAAACGGCTATCCCAGCAGGCCGCAGACCCCAAGCGGGAGGTGACCGATGCTCTGCATCCCCTCCCCAGCTTCCTGGCAAGAACTAAGTGGCTCTGGCACCAGCTAAGGGGCTGGAATTTCTGCCAGACCCTGAGTGTCCAAGCACAGTGAGCCTTAACACCCTCTTTCTGGGCCTAAGCCTCCGTAGCGGGCAGAGGGGCCCCAGGAGCCTCCTGCACGAACCGCTGGTTGATTGGAGGTTGCCTGTTCCCCCCACCCTCAAAACTCCTTCTTAGAGAGAATGTCCCAGTTGCTGTTGAATGTCTCCTATGATGGAGGGCTCACCCCCCGCCCCAGTCCCTGACACCCCGGTCGTCCCCTCCGAGCTTTCATGCATATCAGGGCCTAGTCCCAGAAGATTGGGGCTGGAGGTACCTGAATGGAGTTGAGGCCCACGGCAGCGTAGGCCCAGGCGGGGCTCAGGTGCACCAGGATGCCCACCAGCCAGGTCAGGCCCAGGACGGGCAGCAGGACCAGCACAGGCTTCACCGTGGCCCTGTAGGAGGGCAGGCAGGGCTGACGGGGGTTGGAGGCCTGGGGAGCTCCCCGCAGGGTTCCAGGGATAGCAGCACCTGTAAGTGCCTGGAGTGGGGTGGCAGCTGAGGGCTAGGGCCATGGCTCAGCAGGACTTAGAGGGAGCCAGAACCTTTGACTGGACTTTGTTGCCCCCTCCTCAGAGACAGAGGTGGCATGAAGTAGGGTAGTGGCACTTGGGAGATGGGGTCCCAGCCCCCAGCCTGGCTGGAAGGAACGGGGTGGTAGCTGTTCAGAGCAGGGGCCGAAGCCTGAGCAGTGGGAGCAGCAGGGATGGGGTCAGGACTCCCTTCTCCCTCTCTAAGGGCCCTGGGGTTCCCTGGCTTTTCGGGGATCCCCCCCAGCTTGGGCTGCCCTGTGCTTGGTGGAGGATGGGTGGGGAAGGAGAAAGCCAGCAAGGAGGCAGGGCTGGGAAAAGAGGCCAGCGGGGTCCCCCTCTTGCAGAGCGTGACCCCGGAGGGCGATGGGGGTCTTTGGCAGGAACAGGGACCCAGGTCCTCACCCTGAACTTGAACTTCTGGAGCTAACCCTGAACGTCTGGGGCTAGCCCTGATTTGAGGGTCTCCCCTACTTTGTCTCCTGTAGGCTATCAGTACCTTCCGTAGACAGTGTACCCCTCGAACAGTGGCTGATGTCCACAGCTCCCTCACACGGATCAGTGACCATCCCCACATGTGACACGCATGGATGCACGGGTGCAGAGGTGCATGCTGACACAAGTTGACGTGCCCGAGCATGTGTGACACAGATGCGGGGACACATATGCACCCATATACTCAACACAGACTCGGGCATGGCCACACGGCCACGCTCTGGACACAGACTCGCACATGCTCTCGCCCGGTGAGCCTCATGCCTGGCGCTGGCTGACCCTGCACTTCCCGCTTCCTGTTGGCCCCCCTGTTCTGGGGCCTCACCATATCTGGGTCCAGATCTGCTCCTGAAGGCAGGGCTGTGGGCTCAACATGCGGGCACGGCGGCGGGTGCTGGACACGGTGACCATCACCACACGGGCCAGGATGCAGGTGTTGGCCTGGAGACCTGGGGTCAGTGGGTGAGAGGCCTTCCCCGTCCCCAACACACCCCTCCCCTGCAGGTCCCCCGCTCACAGTCAGTACGAAGAGCACAGGCCCCACGAAGGCCCAGATGGCATATGTGTGCACGTTGAGCCAGCAATGTCCAGGGGCCACGTAGTCACGGGGGAGCATGGCCAGGGTGACTGCCACAATGCCCACAGGCATGCCTAGGGGAGGGAGAAGGGGGTCTCAAGGCCGGGTCACCTGCTCTTTCTTCTCCAGGACCCAGAACCGCGCCCGCCAAGCTGCAGCTGTCCCCTACTGGAGGTTGTACTTGGGGCACTGGGGAGGTCCAAGGAGCAGGGCTGGGGGCTCTGATACTGTTGGGGTGGCATTGGAGCCACAGTAGTTTGGGAGCGGGGAGAGTTGAGGCTGCTTTGGAAGCTACAGCTGGGCGTCTCCAGAGATGGAGGCTGGGCGACTGACTGGCTTCAGATTTGGGGAGACAGCACTGTGGATGGAGAGGGGAGGCTGGGAAGTGGAGACGGATTATGAGGAAGGGGCTTGGGTAAATTGGAGGTTAATAGGACTAAGGAAATTGAGGTCATGTCAGAGATGGGTGCTGGGTGTTGCTGGGTGCTGGGTGATGCTAAATGCCGGATGCTGAGTGGTGCTGGGTGCTGAGTGCTGAGCGTGGGGCCGTATTAGATGGCAGGGTCGGCCATGCAAGGTACAGCTGGGAAGAAGAGAGTGCGGGCGCAGAGCAGGCCTCACCCCAGCCTGTGGCGTGGTAGAGCCGCATGCCTGGTCCCGGGTGCATGCTCACAGCTACCACCTTCCTCCACAGCAACAGCCCCTCCACCAGCATCCAGGAGAATGCCGCCAGAAAGAGGAAGTGCATTGCGACTGTGACAGTCACACATGCCACCTGTGGGAGTGGGGGAGGGTGGGGATCCCCACCTAGGTCCAAGGTCAGACGCAGGTGCAGGCCGACCCCGCAGCCCTGTGCCCAGCCTGGCCTTGCCAACCCAAAGAAGTGTCAGCGGGTGAGGCCTCTGAGCAGCAGCCTGGGCCCCGCTCCACCATTTGGAGCCTTTCCTCCCTGGGCCGGGCTCCTCCCCAGGGAAGTGGAGCCAAGTGAAAATGGTGGGGGGCAGGGGGTCACCCTAGGAAAACCCACAGGCACTTTCCCAGGCTTCCCTGGGCTTCTGGCCCGCCCACTGACCGCCCACCTCATTGGCCTTGGCCCACTCGCTGGTCATGAGGAAGCCCTCTGCACAGGCCAGGGAGAAGGTGAGGTTCTTGTGGACTGTGGTTCGCTCTGACTTGGGGACCCTGGAGAGGACAGAGGAGTCACTTAACAAGACCACTGCCGGTCCCCACACTCCGCAGGCCCCTGTCCTGCCCGGTCCCCTGTGCCTGAGCAGGTGGAGGGAAAGAAAGCAGCTCCACAGGGGACCCTGCACATCCTAAGGAGAGGCTCAGACCGAGGTTCTGCCGGGACCAAGGGTGGACACCCGACCGATGGGGACATGGAGGCCTGAGCGAGGCGGGGAGGGCCCAGGCTGCCAGGCTACGGTGGTGAACCCTCCTCACCCGGCCGCCAGGAAGAGCAAGAAGGTGGTGGTGAGGGCGCAGAAGGACACACCACAGCCAACAAATGAGAGAGTCCTCAGCAGCGACTCCTCCTCAGGGCCTCTCTGTGTGGAGGGACAGAGAAACCCCCTGGCACCACCCAGACCCGACCCAGGCCAGACCTCGCCCCGCCTGGTGACTGTAAGGCCCCCCATGCCATATTCACGTCTGCAGTGCAGCAGCAGCCAGCAGGGCCCAGGCCTGCACACAGTAGGCATTTAATAAGCAGGTGTGAGCATGTCCTTCTCTCCTGCTGGCTCTTCCTAGACTGACCCCAACTGGCCCAGATTCCACCGACTGGACAGCTACTAAGAGCGCTGACCGATGTGCTCACGGGGAGGGATCCTAGGGACCATGGAGTGTCGTCAGAATGGGGCTGTGGGTGGATCGTTCATGATGTGGAAAAGCATCCACGCTCTGACTTTTCTTTTTTCTTTTTTTTTTGAGCCTCACTCTGTCCCCCAGGCTGGAGTGCAAGTGGCGCAGTCTCAGCTCACTGCAACCTCTGCCTCCTGGGTTCAAGTGATTCTTGTGCCTCAGCCTCCTGAGTAGCTGGGACCACAGGCACGGGCCACCATGCCCAGCTAATTTTTGTATTTTTAGTAGAGATGGGGTTTCACCATATTGGCCAGGCTGGTCTCCAACTCCTGACCTCAAATGATCCGCCTGCCTTGGCCTCCCAAAGTGGTCGGATTATAGGTGGGAGACACCATGCCTGGCCCTGACTTTACAGGAAAAGTGCATTTGGTAGCCTGTTTCTCTAACGTGCCCCTCAACATGCCAGGTGACCCCAGCATTCCTGAGGTTCAGGTCCCATCTCACCTGACTTCTCAGCAAGTGACCACTCAGGGCCCCTTTCCAGCTCCAGTGAGTCCAGCCCCTCCTGATGTCCCCTTAGAGTTTCCCCTCAACAAGTTGTTTACAATTTATTATTTACTCATTTATTTTTAGACAGGGTTTTGCTCTGTCACCCAGACTGGAATGCAGTGGCATGATCTTGGCTCACTGCAGCTTCGACTTCCTGAGCTCAAGCAATCCTCCTGCCTCAGCCCCCTGAGTAGTTGGGACTATAGGCGTGAGTCGCCATGCCTGGCTAATTTTTGCATTTTTTGTAGAGATGGAGTTTCGCCATGTTGCCCAGGCTGGTCTTGAACTCCTGGGCTCAAGTGATCAGCCGCCCAAAGTTCTGGGACAACAGGTATGAACTATTGCGCTCAGCCCTGTCCCCCACAATCTATGACAGCTGGCATCCCTCAGAGGCTTCTTCTTACTATCTATTGGCTCTTCTCTTCACCTCCAGCTAAGGACCCCCCTCCTGACACCCCCTTCCCACCGTGCACTCACCTGTACTTCATAGATTTGCAGCAGGACGGCAAAGCTGGTGCTGTGGTTGCAGAAGCAGGCGGTGGAGTCCGGGTACAGGGCAGCCACGGAGCAGCCCGTGGTGGCCCAGGCACCCCCTGTATATGGGCTTGGGGGATGGGGAGGGAACAGAGGGCTCTTGAGATAAGGTGGACAAGGGGGTGAGGGGCCAGGAGCAAGCAGGGGAAAGGCTCTCCCCAAAGCCTGGGGCCCATCACCGCCCTGCCTCTAACCAGCTACGTGACCTTGGGGAGTCACCGCCCCTTCCTGGGTCTCAGCTTTTCACCTATAAAATATGCTTGACATTCTTAGGATGGTAGGAGGGCGGGGCTGATACCAGTGATCGCTGTTTATCAACTTCATTAATTACTGAGCCACTGGGACCAAGGTTCCCTACCTCAGCTAAAGATCCAGGGCAGGGAGCCAGGCTAATCCCTGGAGCCTGCTCTGCTCCTTCAAGAGCCCTAGGGCCCTGGCCTCAGATAGATCAAGTTCAACACCCATTTGACAGATGAGTCCCTTCCTAGCATCTCACAGAGTGAGTGCTTCCTCCTGCACATACTCTCATGACAGGGAGCTCACTGCCTGCTGGGTAACACATCCTCCTGCCCCAGCTTGTCCTAGAGCTGGGAGGAGCCTGGAGTCACCCTGAAAGGCAGATGGTGAACGGAGGTCAAAACCATGTGTAAGTCTTGCCTCATCCCCAAGCAGAGTGGACATCTTTTTAAAAAATCATCTTAAAGGCTGGGTTCGGTGGCTCACTGTAATCCTAGCACTTTGGGAGGCCAAGGCGGGTGGATCACCTGAGGTCAGGAGTTTGAGACCAGCCTGGCCATCGTGGCAAAACCCTGTCTCTACTAAAAATACAAAAATTCGTTGGGAGTGATGGCGGGCGCCTGTAATCCCAGCTACTTGAGAGGCTGAGGCAGGAGAATCGCTTGAGGGACATGGAGGTTGTATTGAGCCAAGACTGCACTACTGCACTCCAGCCTGGGCGACAGAGCAAGATTCCATCTCAAACAAAACAAAACAAAAACAAAAAAAACCTTGGAAATGGAAACTAACCTGATACTGTAGTTCCAGAAAGCACAGACAGGCTCCACCAGCTTGTGACGGAAGGTCTGGAGGCAGGAGACAGGGACAGGGCAGGTGCATGAGCGTGGATTGAGCAGCACGGTGCAGGTGTGAGTGTGGATGGGAAAGGAGAGAGACCAGGAGAATGGAGGGATGCCAAGGACTCTGCATTTTAGGGACCGGGGGGGTTGCCCACCATGCGTTGTGGATGAAGGGGCAGAGGGGAGGCAGAGGGAGGAGAGTGCAGACTTTCTGGTGTGGAAGGTGGAAAAACTGGGAACGCGCTAAGCAGCCATCACTGGGGAGTGGTTAAGCAACTGTGCGTCTCCTCTCCTTGGGATACTGCCTCTGGTAAGATGAACACACAGACCTCTGGCTACTGATGTGGAAAGATCTCTGTGATACGTTGTTCAGTAAAGGAAGAATTCACAACATTGGGCACATAAGCCCATTTATTTCACATAAGCCCATTTATGTGAAAAATTCAGGTCTGCATACTTGTGAAAACACACACACACGTACACACATAGCATGTGTGGGAGCAAACACACAGTGAACTTAACAGTGGTTAGGTCTGGGTTTGAATGTGTTACGATGCATGTGTTAGTTCTTTTGTAATTAAACAATGACAAAAATATAGATTTTATAACATGTCATTAAGCAGTGAAGACACATCAAGCGGCTAGTGGTACCAGCCCCAGTCTAGGTAGTGAAAGTAGCCTGAGCTTGGGACTTGGGCCATCTGTCCTGACTGGCGAGGGTGATGGCAATCACACCTCACTTTGTGTCTTGCCAAGCACTTTCATGTCCTTTATTGTAGCTGATCTTCATAGCAACCTAAGAGATAGCTATAAATTCATGCAATTTCAGATGAGGAAACTGAGGCTCAGAGAGGAGGGTTAACCTGCTCAAGATTTACACAGCGCCATGCTTTGCATGGCTCCACTGAAAGCAAGGGCTTTCATTTTGCAAAAGGAAATACATGCATATAGTGTTATGTGCCCAGAAAACAGCTTAAGTAAAATGCACCAAAATGTTCATAGCGGTTATCTCTGGGTAATAACATTTTGTCTTTATCCTTCTCTATATTTTGTGAATTTGTCACAATGAGTAACACATTGCTTTTATTATTTTTATTTTAACATATTTTAAATTTTTAATGTATAAAAATCTCAAAAATTTATCCTTTAGAATATTAAACAAGGCTGGGCGTGGTGGCTCACTTTGGGAGGCTGAGGCAGGGGGATCACTTGGGCCCAGGAGTTTGAGATCAGCTTGGACAACACAGTTAGATCCTGTCTCTGTGAAAAATACAAAATAAAATTAGCCAGACGTGGTGGTACGGACCTGTAGTACCACCTACTTGGGAGGGTGAGCTGGAAGGATCGCTTGATCCCGGGAGGTCGAGGCCGCAGTGAGCTGTGGTGGTGCCACTGCACTCCAGCCCGGGCGACAGAGGGAGAGACTGCCTCAAAAATAAATAAATAATAAAAATAAAAATATAAGCGAAATTGACAAAGTTCTAGCTAGACTGTCCAAGAATGAAAAAGAAAACATCACTGTAGAGTCTACAGATGTGAAAAGGATCATAAGGAAACAGTATAAACAACTCTGTGCTGGAAATTTGACAACCTGGATGAAATGGACACATTCTTTGAAAGGCGCAAATTACCAAACCATCTCAAGAAGAAATAAAACACTCAAATAACCTGTATCAATCAAAGAAACAGAACGCACAATTAAAAATCTTTCCACAAAGAACACACGAGGTCCAGAGGAATTCACTGGTGAAGCTGATCAAACATTCACAGAGGACAGAACTCTTCCCAACTCATTTTATGAGGCCAGCATTAATCTGACACCCAAACCAGAGGAAGACAGTACAGGAAACTATAGAACACATTATTCATGAACATAAACACAAAAATCGTCAACAAAATACTAGCTAATTGAATCCAACAATATATATAAAAGATATATATATAACCATAATCAAATTACACTGATCTCAGGAATCCAAGGTTGGTTTAACACTTGAAAATCAGTCAGGGCAATTTACTAGATTAATGAAATAAATGAGAAAACCATATGATCATATCAACATGCAAGAAACATTTGACAAAATTCAAAGGCCATTCATGATAAAAATTCTCAGCAAACCACGAAGAGAAGGGAACTTGATTTGATGGACATCTACAAAAAGCCCAAACATCACACTTAATGGTGAAAGTCTAGATGCCTTCCTTCTAAGATAACGAATGAGACAAGGATGGCTGGCCTCACCATCCAATTCAACATTGATCCAGAGATCCTAGCTGGTGCAACAAGGGAAGAAAAAGAAAGAAAGGAAAGGAAGAAAAGGGAGGAAAGGAAGGAAGGAAGAAGGAAGGCAGGAAGGAAGGAGAGAGAGAGAGAGAGAGAGAAAGAAAGAAAGAAAGAAAGAAAGAAAGAAAGAAAGAAAGAAAGAAAGAAAGAAAGAAAGAAAGAGAGAGAGAGAGAGAAAGAAAGAAAGAAAGAAAGAAAGAAAGAAAGAAAGAAAGAAAGAAAGAAAGAAAGAAAGAAAAGAAAGGAAAGAAAAGAAAGAAAGAAAGGAAGGAAGAGAGAGAGAGAAAGGAAGAAGGACGGAAGGAAGAAAGGAAGAAAGAAGGAAAGAAGGAAGGAAAGAAAGAAAGAAAAAAAGAAAGGAAGGAAGAGAGAGAGAAAGGAAGGAAGGAAGAAAGGAAGACAGAAAGACATGGATTGGAAAGGAGAAACAAAAACTGCCTTTACTTGCAGACAACATGAGCATGTATGTAGAAAATCCTAGAGATTCAGGAAAAGAGCTACTGTAAGTACTAAGTGAGTTTGGCAAGGTTGCAGAATATAGTATCATTGTACAAAAATCAATTATATTACTGTATACTAGCAATGAACAGTTTAAAATTAAGAAAACAATACCATTTCTGGTAATATCCAAAACTTTGTAATACTTAGGAATATATTTAACAAAATATCTCTAAGATCTGTTCACTGAAAGGTATATATCACTGAGAAAAAAATGTAAAAACCCTAAATAAATGGAAAGCTATGTCTTCATAATGAATTGAAAGATGCCAGTTCTCCCAAATTGATATACAGAGTCAATGCAATGCCAATCAAAATACTAGTAGGTTTCTATAGACATTTTTCTATAGACATTTATGAGCTGATTCTAAAATATATATGGAAATGCAAAGAATCTAGAATAGCCAAAGTAACTTTGAAAAAGAACAAGGCTGAGTGTGGTAGCTCGTGCCTGTAATCCCAGCACTTTGGGAGGCCAAGGCAGGTGGACTGCTTGAGGTCAGGAGTTTGAGACCAGCCTGGGCAACATGGAAAAATCCTGTCTCTACAAAAAGAAAAAGAAAAAGAAAAATTAGCTGGGCATGGTAGATCGCCTGTAGTCCCAGCCACTTGAAGGGCTGGGGCTGAGGTGGGAGGAGGATCCCTTGAGCCAGGGAGGTTGAATCTACAGTGAGCTGTGTTCATACCACTGTACTCCAGCCTGGGCAACAAAATGAGACCCTGTCTCAAAAAAAAAAAAAAAAAAAAAAAAAAAAAAGAGAAAGAACAAAATTAGGCCATGGTGGCTCACACCTATAATCCCAGCACTTTGGGAGGCTGAGGCGGATGGATCGCGTGAGGTCAGGAGTTTAAGACCAGTCTGGCCAACATGGTGAAACCCTGTCTCTACTAAAAATACAAAAAATTGACGGGGCGTGGTGGCGTGTGCCTGTAATCTCAGCTACTGGAGGCTGGGGCAGGAAAATCACTTGAACCTGTGAGGCAGAAACTGCAGTGAGCCGAGATCGCACCACTGCACTCTAGCCTGGGCGACACCCAGAGATCACACCCATCTCAAAAAACAAACAAACAAACAAACAAAAAGCCCAAAAAACTAAGTTGAAGGATACACTACCTGATTTCAAGGCTTACTATACAGACACATTAATCAGGACAGTATGAAATTAACATAGGGATAGGCATATAGATCACTAGAACAGAACACACAGCCCAGAAATAGATCTACACATATACAGACAATTGATTTCAACAAAGATGACAAGAAAATTCAACGGGAGCAAAGAATAATCTTTTCAACAGTGTTGGAACTGGTTGTCTATATGGAAAAAAATGAACTTCAACCTTTTTACCTTCATAATATATGGAACTTAAGTTGAAATAAATTATACACCTACATGTAAAAGCTAAAGTGATAAACTTCCTTGAGAATATCTTTGTGACCTTTGGATTGCCAAAGCTTTCTTAGATAGGATACAAAAAGCATGAGCTATGCAAGACAAAAATTGATAAATTGGACTTCATCACAATTAAAAACTTATCTTTCAAAGACACTATTAAGAAAACGAAAAGCAAGCCACAGACTAGAAGAAATTATTCACAAGACATATTTCTAACAAAGGACTTGTATCCAAAATATATAAAGAATTCTTACAACTCAATAATAAAACAAATAATTTAAAAATTGGGGAAAAGATTTGAAGATGCATTTAACAAAGGAAGATATATGACAGCTTAATAAGTGTATAAAGAGATGCCCAGAATCATTGGTTTTCAAGGAATTGCAGCTTAAAACCACAATGAGATATCAATACATGACTATTATAATGAATGACATTAAAAACACTGACAAGGATGTTGGCAGAGGTGTGGAGCAACTGGAACTCTCCAACGCTGCTAGTGGGAATGTAAAAATGGTTCAACCACTTTAGAAAACAGTTTGACAGTCTCTTAGGAAGTTAAAATACACTTATGCTACAACTCAGCAAGTCTACTTTCAGGAATCTACCTAGTAAAGAGAAATCATTTATCCACAAAAAGACTTGTATATGAATGTTCATACCAGACTTATTCATAGTAGCCCAAACTGAAAACAAGTCAAATCTCTGTCAACAGCTAAATGGAAAAACAAATCATGATACATCTATATACCTGAATACTACTCAGCAGTGAAAAAGGAACGAGCTACTGAAAAGTGCAACAACACGAATGATTCTCAACAATGGGACCTGAGCAAAAGCCAGGCCTCAACACATACTAGATGATTCCATTTACATGAAATCCTAGAAAAGACAGACACAGGGCTGGGCACAGTGGCTCACACCTGCAAATCCCAGCACTTTGGGAGGCCAAGGTGGGCGGATCACCTGAGGTCGGGAGTTCGAGACCAGCCTGACCAACATGGAGAAATCCCATCTCTACTAAAAAAAAAAAAAAAAAAAAAATACAAAATTAGCCAGACGTGGTAGCGCATGCCTGTAGTCCCAGCTACTCAGGAGGCTGAGGCAGGAGAATCGCTTGAACCCAGGGGGCGGAGGTTGCAGTGAGCCGAGATCGACCATTGCACTCCAGCCTAGGCAACAATGGCGAAACTCCATCTCAAAAAAGAAAAGAAAAGAAAAGACAGACAATCTACGGTTACAGAAAGCAGGTCAGTGATTTCCTGGGGTAGCAGCATGGAACACTGACTGGGAAGGGGCACAAAGAAGCTTTTTGGGAAGGTAGAAATGTTCTAGACCTTGAGTGGGGCAGTGGTACACATGTATATACACTGGTCCAAACTTGTCAAATTGTATGCTTAACATGGATGCATTTTAGCATATGTAGATTTAGACATTTCAATCAATTTGATTTTTTTTTTTTTTTTTTGAGACGGAGTCTTGCTTTGTTGCCCAGGCTGGAGTGCAGTGGTGTGATCATGGCTCACTGCAGCCTTGAACTCCTGGGCTCAAGCCATCCTCCTGCCTCAGCCTCGTGAGTAGCTGGAACTGCAGATGTTGTGCCACCTTGCCTGGCCAATTTTTCTATTCTTTTGTAGGAATGAGTTCTCATATGTTACCCAGGCTGATCTCAAACTCCTGGCCTCAAGCGATCCACTTGCCTCAGCCTCTCAAAGTGCTGGGATTACAAGCATAAGCTACCACGCCTGGCCTCAATCAATTTGACTTTTTTTTTTTTTTGTCTTGGGAGGATATATACAAGAGACTGATAAGCAGTGGTGTGTGTGTGTGTGTGTGTGTGTGTGTCCAAGATTACTGGTTGTGAGCAAAGAAGATAGCTTTCTCTGAAACATTCCAGTGTTTCAGAAGGGAGAAGAAATTTGTGTATTAAACGTGAAATGAAATTTAACATATCTTGGAGATCTTTCCATGTCAGTTTATACAGAAATATCCCAATCCCTATACAACTTTCAGTTGACTATTCCATTGCACACTTGGTCCCTATTACCTGCAGGAGATGGGTTCCAGGACCCCTAAGGATACCAAAACCTGCCAAGGCTCAAGTTTTTTATATAAAATGGCATGCTATTTGCATATAACCTACACACATGCTCCTGTATACTTTAAGTCATCTCTAGATTACTTGTAATACCTAATACAACTTAAATGCTATGTAAATAGCTGTTATGCAATCTTGCTTAGAAAATAAAATATAAATGTATTAATAGCTGTTATACTGTCTTATTTATGCCCCCCAAAATAGAAGTCTATAGATGTTCAGTACAGATGCTATTTTTTCTGAATATTTTCCATCCATGGGTGCTTGAATCCTTGGTGGTGAAACCCTCCCATATGGAGGGCTGACCATATATATCTACAAAACTTTGTTTTTTGTTTTTTGAGACAGAATCTTGTTCTGTCGCCCAGGCTGGAGGGCAGTGGTGTGATTTCAGCTCACTACAACCTCCGCCTCCTGGGCTCAAGCGATTCTCCTACCTCAGCCTTCCCAGTAGCTGGGACTACAGGTGTGTACCACCACGCCTGGCTAACTTTTATGTATTTTTAGTAGAGATGGGGTTTCACCATGTTGGCCAGGCTGGTTTCGAACTGCTGACCTCAAGTGATCCGCCCTCCTCAGCCTCCCAAAGTGCTGGGATTACAGTCATGAGGCACCGTGCCCAGACCTACAAAACTTTTAAAGGAGTCCCCTACTGATGGACATTGAGGTTATTTTTATTTGTATGAAGCACATTCATATGTGAAGGCTCCTGCACACACACTGCAGAGAGTGAATGAATGAATTCACTGCACACGCCGCAGTGAATGACTCCATGAGAACTAACGGGTTTTCAAGTTATGCAGACCTAGAATGAATGAAATCCCAGCTCTGCCACTTACAAGCTGGGGCCAATCACATTAGCCCTCCCAAGTTGTGGATAAAGTGCACAGTTGGAGGAGTAATGAATGCGCCATTCATTAATGCCACCTGCCATAAGGTGCCCCTGCAGTCAATCGCTTCCCTTCCCATTCCCTTGAGGACAATGGAGGTGACTTGCAGGTACATTTTGTGTGCATTATTAGGCCTTGGTTGTCCAATGAATAAATATTGGGGGTTGGGGGAACTGAGCCAGGACACATGCACCAGGATGGCTGCTTCCCAGAAGCGCCACCCAGTACCTGGGCCTGGTGCTGCAGATGAAATGTCACGGCCATGCTGACCTCTCCAGTGACGTCCCACACTTCAGAGGAGATGATGGCTGACCCCACCTGGGTGCTTAGGAACCTGTGGGCAGAATGGGAGCTTTCAAGGGTGGCTGTGGAGGAGGGATGGTGCCTGGCTGGGGCATGTCACTCAGGCCCCTGCGGTGGAGGTGGCAGCCTCTGTGTCCAAAGAGGTATCAGGAATTATGGCACCTGGTTCAGTCTTGCCTTAGGGACTTGCTGGTAACTTGGGTAAGTCCCAACCCAGAAGCCAGAACCCCAGACGGGAGTTGAGCCGTTCACCTCTGGCAGGTGCGGAAGTGTGTGTGTGTCGGGCAGAGGTGGGAAACGGTGGGCCCTGGGCTGCTAAGGACACATGCACCCACCAGAACGCGGGCTCTGGCCTTCCTGGGGAGGGGACACAGGCCCTCACAACCTTCCAGGTGGCGCCTACTCACCTCTGCACCCTGTTTGCTTCCTCTGAGCTGGCAGGGGCCTGGGGCTGTAGGTCCAGCCCCTCTAGGGTATGCTGGAAGACTCTGGAGGTGAACCAGCTGTGGATCACGGTGACTCCAGAGAGGCCTGGCTGAGTGGAAGGGGCACTAAGGCACCACCCGGTGGCTGGGCAAGCACCACCAGCTGGCCCTAAGGGTGATGCTCTCCCCACTCTACAGATAGGGAAACTGAGGCTCAGAGAGGTTAAATGACTTCCCTAATATCACACAGCTAAGAAGTGGAACAGTCAAAATTCCAAGCAGCCACAGTCTATGTGCTTAACCTCACATCTCCAAGGCCCTTTGCCCCTTCCCCTAATCCCCCACCACTGCATGGCATCAAGCACAGGGGGTCTCCCTCCACTACCCACTCCCGAGGGAAGATGTGCGTGGTTCCGTGGAGGAGACTAAGTGAACACCACTATGTGGTGGGTGCTTTTAACCTCATAAGCCACAAGGCAAGTAGTAATGTGCCCATTTTACAGATGAGCAAACTGAGACTCTGAAAGATGAGTAGCACAGCTAGCAATGGTTAGAGCTGAGGTTTGACCCAGAACCCAACAGGGCTCTCGACACCCCCTCATCCTCACCCACCTTTTCCGAGGAGTCGCCTCGCTTCACCTGCAGGAATGTGGATATGGCCGGGCCCCTCTGGACGCCCACCGGGCATTGTGAAGAAGCAGCCCCTCGTGCTGGCCTCCCTCAAGCGTAAGCTGCGTACCTCCAGGCCTGGGGGTAAACGGGGCTGGGTGGCTGGACCTCGGAGTGAGGTCTTTCTGCTGAGCCAGCCCAGCTAGCAGGGTCTGGATCTCTCTCTTCCTGCCATAGGCCTCAGAGTCCACCATTCCTGCTCAGAGAGGTTCAGCAACTTGCCCAAGGCAAATCTGACTTTTCCAATTCCAGGGGAAGGGGGTCACTGAGAAGGGGGGGGCGGTCACCGCGAGGCAGGACCTGAATATTGATGAGTCACCAGAAACTGATGGGAGCCCAAAGGACACGTGTTTGTACCTGAAGCTTCACCACAGGTGCACCCCCATTCAGGTTACAAACATTCACCGAGTGTGTACTTGGGCTTGGCCCCGAGATGCAGAGACGGCTTACCACTTAGCGAGTGTCCCGTGGAGGGAGATAATCCCATTATGTAATTGCCAGAAATGCAATGAGAGACATGTTCAAGGTTCTGGGGTAATAGAGGCGGGAGGAACTGTCTCTCGGTGGAGGATAGAGCTAAAACGGGAAGGCTTCCTAAAGGGGGTGATGCCCATGTGGGGTTCTGAAGGATGTATAGGCATTTGCTAGGAGATCAAGGGAGAGAGGGCATTCTGGATTCAGGGCACAGCATGGGCAAAGGCAGGAAACAGAATGGAGTGCCTGTGGAAGTGCAGACAGCTCCCAGTCACCAGGGCGAGGAGGGAGGTCTGAGTCCAGCCGCGTGGGCAGGTGGGTGCAGGCTCACCAGCATGGCGGTGCTGGATGCGCATTCGGGGCTGCTCTGAGGTCATTGTGGTGCTCAGCAGGGGTGCCAGGCGCTGCACACTCGCCACCAGGGTCATAGGCCCACCAACCACCTGGGAGGATGCTGCATCTCAGCTTCCTGTCACACTCTGCACCCCACTGCTGCCTGCCCTGAGTGCTGGAATGAACGCTCCATGATCTGGGAGGTGGTCCTACCCTCTCCAGACCCTCCGTGGCTCTTTAAGGACTCCAGGATCAAGTCCTGGGTCCTCAGGTTGACATTCGAAGACCTGCGTGCCCCAACCTCCTTCGACCTATCCAATTATATCTCCCAAGTCACCCCATCCTCCTGTTTGCCAACCAGAGCACACTTAGAAGTCTGGGCCATGCCTACCCCTTCGCTGTGGCTCAGTGCTAGACCTGTAATGGGTGCTCAACACTGAGATTGCAAAAGGAAAGCCATGGGTGGGAGTGGTGAGAGCAGGGGAGGGAGGAGAGGAATCTGCATTCATGGGGCACCTACTCTGTGCTGGGCAAGTCACACTGTTCATCCCTAATGCCTCTCCATTGCCTTAGCAAGGCTGGTGTGATCATCCCCATTCCCCAGGGAAGAAAACTGAGCTTCAGTCTGGCTTTCCCCAGTCTGCAGTGCCTCAGATCCCTAATCAACTATGGGCTTGCACACTTCCCAGGATGGGGAGCCCACTACCCATAGCGAATCATTCCATAGAACCAGCCTCCTGTGTTACGCCGTCTTCCCCTACCCCCATGTCCTAGTCCCAAATCTGTCCTCTGAGGCCCACCAGGGGTACCAGGTTTGCTTCTTCAACCCCAGATAATTTGCAGGCACTGTTCATGATTCTTGTTCCCTTCCCTGCTCTGGACTGATCACTCCCAGGCCGACAGCCACTTCTGCCAGGACAAGGTTTCCAACAGCCTCTCCATCTGGACAGCACCTCTCATGTTGTCCAGAGTGTCTGGGCTGTTTAGGCAGACAAGGTGGACTGTCCACTCCGTATAGATCCCCCACTTAAGGTGGTCAGCAGGTTCTTGGAGATGGGGGAGGCTCTTACTAACTGGCGGCTCTTATTTCATTTAACTACAGAAGCTATTGGTCAAGTGCAATTTTTTTTTTTTTTTTTTTTTGAGACAGAGTCTCACTCTGTCACCCAGGCTGGAGTGCAGTGGTGTGATCTCGGCTTACTGCAACCTCCACCCCCTGGGTTTAAGTGATTCTCCTGCCTCAGCCTCCTGAGTAGCTGGGATTACAGGCTTCCACTACCAGGCCTGGCTAATTTTGTATTTTTAATGGAGACAGGGTTTCACCATGTTGACCAGGCTGGTCTCAAACTCCTGACCTCATGTGATACACCCGCCTCAACCTCCCAAAGTGCTGGGATTACAGGCATGAGCTACCATGCCCAGCCTCAAGTGCAATTGTTTGTGGAAATTAAACTTATCAAGTAGACAAAAGAGAAGCTTCTCCCGATAGATGCAGAGATGGAGCCCAGAGCTAGGTGCTGACTCCGCCACAGCTACACAACCAGCTGGTGGCTAGGCTGGAACCACAGCCCAGGCCTCTGCCCACCCAGCCCTGCCAGCCTCACCTCACGGATGGACAGCCATGCGTCAGCCACCTGCTCCTCCAGGACCAGACTGGCCACAGATACAACGCGTTGGCTCAGCTGCTCCCAGGGGCCTGTCAACAACAGCTCAGGGTCCCCAGCCCCGAGGGCCACTACCCTCTTCAGGAAGCGCACAACAGCCAGAAGTGCGGCCGGCCCCAGTGGAGCCATCTCCATCGCCAGGACTTGCTCCAGAAGGCCCAGGAAGCTGGAGGCCTCCGCTGGGGACAGGGTCCCATGGGCTTCGGAGAGGGGGTCCGGGAGGAGCTGTGGGCAGAGGAGCCACTGACCCTGGGTCTGGTTGTTATGAGGGGATCCCCCCAGGAGCCACACCATTACAGGGGAGGAAATTGAGGTGCAGCAAGGTGACCCACAGAGCCCCCAGGCTCGCCAGCCCCTGAAAGGGAGCTCACCACAATGTCATTGGCCAAAGCATTGACTCGGCTGATAACATCCTGGCCAGGCCACGACTGGGCATCCTGCAGCCGATGATAGGTCTCTGCAAAGGAGTGGATGCCAGGCTGGGCCCCGGGCAATACCCCTGCCCAGAGGTGCCAGCCTGTTCAGCGACCTCTACCCACCACGTGCTGCCCAGGGAAGGAAGAGCACCTTGATGGCTGTGTGTCCAGAGTCTTACACACAGTGTTCTAGATAGGGAAACTGAGGCACAGAATGGCAAAAGAGCTTGCCCAACGTCACACAATTTGGATTCACCCTCAGGTCCGTCTGAACCCACTGCTCTGTGGCTTAGACTCCATGGAGACCTTGAAGCTCTGAGATGATTCTGAATTCCCAGACTTTGCCAATAGCTCACCCCCTCTCAGTCTACTCTGGTCCACATCGGCTTTCCCTTCAGCAGCGCCCAGGGGCACAGCCAGGGCGCACCTGTCGCGTAGCAGCAGAGGAAGAGTTGCGGCTCCAGGCAGAGTTCAGAGCCCTCACTGCGAGGTGCCGGGTTCCACGTAGGGCACTCCTCGGAGGGCACTGGCAGGCGCGGGGCAGCTGTTAGGGCTCCCTAGGGGTCCTGCGCACCCTGGCGAGCCAGGATGCACGGCCCCGGGGTTAGGGGGCAATGTGAAACCTGAGAGAGGGACACTGTGGCCAGCTCGGGGTAGGGGTAAGGGGGAGGCTTATGCTGGGACCAGGCTTATGCTGGAGCTCGCTGGCACTGCAGCCTGGAGAGGGCGTGGCCAGAGCTAGGCGTGGCTTGGTTGGCAAGGGGTGGATCGAGTTCCAGGGTTGGAAGGGAAGGATTCGGGGCCATGGAGTGGGGCCGGGGCGGGGCGGGTCGTACCGGGACAGAGAAGGCGCACCCACACCATGGGCAGCAGCGAGGGTGCGATGTCCAGGGCGCCCGGGTCCCAGCGGAAGAGCAGGCCCTCTGGGGGCGGCGCGCAGGCCTGTGCCTGGTGCAACTGCGCGGGACTCAACGCCCGCGCCCACAGGTGGAAGTCGGTGAGGTTGCCGCTGAAGGCGTCACGCGCCGAGAAGCCACCGCCCAGGGAGTCCTGATCCTGGCCCAGCACCAGGATGCTGCCGGACGGCACCGGGTGGCCGGCGCCCAGTCCCCGCGCCCCGGCGCGCCGCCTCCCGTTGGAGAACAGCGCCCAGCGCCCGCCCCTCTGCTCCCATGTGGCGCACACATGGTGCCAGCGGCCGTCGGCGCGGAAGGCTGCGAGGAAGGGCGCGTGGTGCCCACGCACCACCAGCGCAGCGCGCACTACGCCCCCTGGCTCGGCGAAGGCGCGCAGCTGCAGCGCGTTGGGCAGCGCGGGCGCGGCAACGGAGAAGAGCGCGGCGGGGTCGGGCGAGGCACAGTCCCACTGCACGTGAGCACACGCGGTCAGCGCCGCCAGCTCAGGCAGGGGGCTCCGCAGCCGCGCCGCGCGGTCAGCCGTCTTCTCGCCAAACACCAGCACTGCAGTGGTGCGCGCACCTGCGGGGACACGTGGGCCGCGACCTCAGTTTCCTCCCCTGTGAACATGGTCCTGCTCCTGCCCTTTGGCTTAGCGGCGGGGTCTTTCCAGGCTTTGGGCTACCTCCCCACCTCAGGGAGGAGGAAATGCGGGCTAGCGTTCCCCTGCCCAAGAGTCAAACCCCGACGTCCAGTCCAGGGCAAGGGAACCTGGAGATGCAATGGGGTCTTACTCCCGGCTCATTCTGCAAGTATTGTCACTGTGGGCTCCTATCTCTTAAGGTCCCCCGAGCCTCTGCCCCTTGCTCCCATTTCCCAGGGGCCCACACTCACGCCTCTGCGGGGGTCTCCGCAGAGGCACCTCTCTTTGGCCCACCCAGACCAGATCGCGCAGCCGTGAAGCAAGAACCCCATCAGGGGGCTGCAGTGCCAAGTGGCCAAACTGCTGCTCGCAGGACTCTTGGGCCTGCCACCAGCTCAGTCGCTGTCCGGAGAACTTGCATACCCCACCTGCAGTCTCCACCACCTCGCCGGAGGCCACGGGGGCTAAAAACGATAGGAGAGACGGGTGGGGGTGCATTTTGTGGGCATCTGACTCTTCCAGGGCTGGGCGGAGCTAAGGACACTGGGCTTGGAGTCATTCGGGCTGGATGGGGCTGAACCCCGCCATGTCTATGGCCCCCTGAGTCCTGTCCCGTTTCTGAGCTCGTTTCGTCATCTGCACAATGGCAGGAATGAGATGGAAACCAGTGAAGCTTTCCTCGCAGGGCCTGGTATGGTAGGGGTGAAACTAAATGTCACTCTTCCCCTCCTTTGCATTCTAAGCCAATGCATGCCTTGGATCACAGACTTGCTTAGCGGGGGGATGGGGACCCTCCCTGGGGGGAATCCCTCATACCAACCTGGGGCCCAAGGATTCCTTGATTCACCTGGGGAATTGGAGGGGGTCCCAGATAGATTTCTGATCTGGGAGAGAAGAAGACAGGTGGCGGTGGGGCAGCCCTCCCTGCACACTAGCTGTTATTGAATGCCTACTCTGGGGGTGGGTGGGAGGGGGCATTCAGTGGAAGCTGCAGGCTCTGCAGTCAGACCTGAATTCAAATCCCACCACTCAGAGTGGGATCTTGGGAGGGCCCTTCACTGCCCTGAACCTTTTCCCTGCGTGAGGAGTAAACAGGCTGATGAGTAAGAGGGGTCGCCCTTAGTGAGTGCTTTTATTCCATCTGTGCCAGGGCTTATCTTGCGTAACCTTTGCAGTGACCTCATGAGGTGGGATGGCCACTTGGAACCCTTGAAGCTGTGAGTCCCCTTGACTTCCTCCCAGGCACCGCCCTCCCAGAGGTGAAGGTACCAAGAGGCAGAGGAAACAGTAGCACCACGGTGCCATCCTGGATCCAACAGAGCAGGTGACTGACAGCAGGGGTCACAGGCAGGCCAACATGGACTGAGGAAAGAAAGTCACAGGAAAGCAGCTTGGCATCCTGCCTTGCTTCCCCCTTGGATTTCTGCAGGGTCCCTTTGCCCTTTGCTTGGCTCCCAGACCCCACTGAGCTGGGAACCAACCAGTGGGCTGGAAGCCCAGGTGGCCCTCCCACTAGGGACGACATTTACTTGCACAAAAGATGGTCTCCAGGAGCCCCTTCAGGACCGAAGCAAGGAAACACTGTCGCCCTGGAGAGCTGGGAGAGGAGGAGGCAGCAGCAGTCGCTGGCCAGAGAGGGGCGAAACAGAGCTCAGGGTCCCTGCAGGGGTGGGGAAGTTCAGGACCAGGTGGCTTCTTTGTGTTGCTTGGTGTTCTCCGCCAAGGCTCTACTTCCTCAGGCCTCTGCCGAGTTCCCTGGCCTCACCTGTCCACCGCTCCTCGGTGCCGCCACCTCTCCCCTGCTCCCCAAGGTGCGACCATTTCTGAATTTCCCTTCTCCAGACCTGTGACCATGCCATCCCTCCTGCCTGGACTGCCTCCCAGTCTCTCAGTGGTACCTCCTCCAGGTTCGGCCTGCCGTTCCCGCTGGTGGGTGTGCCGCAGCCAGGCGCTGTGCTCAGCGGGGATACCCTAACCCTGGGTGATCTGGGGGTCCCTCCCGTCAACCTGGGGGACTCCGCCAGCAGGGAAGAGCCTCCTGGGTCTCTGCTCCAGCCTTGGCATTACACAAATGTGCCTGAGAAAACACGGTGTCCTGACACCCGGCCTCCTGCCACCTGGTGACAGCATCTGAGCCATCACCCGTGATCATTCACCCCTTTTCCCTCTTTCAGACAGCACGAAAATCCAACATGCCCCTCACCGGAGGACTCGGAGGCTCCCGCGTTTTGGACTCTGAAAAGCACTCCCTCGTTCACGTCTGCCTGGATTCGCGCCCTCAAGCCCCCAGCCCACTTTTCTTGCTCTCCAAACACTTGTTGAGGCCAGAGAGGGAGATGCGAAGTTTGCCCACCACTGCACGTCCGTCCTCTGCGAGGCGCCAATGGGCCTGAGTCAGGGGCCTCCCCTTCACCCGCTGGTCCCTCCCCTGTTCCCAGCTCCAGTTCCTCACCCGCTTTGCCTGGCCTGGCGCCTGTGGCTGTTCACCGTCTGCGAGGCGTCTGCGGGGACTGAAGTCCGGGAAGCGACGGCTGGCTCTCGCTGGTACCAGGAGATCCCGCCCCTCGACCCAGGAGACCCCGCCCCTCGGCCACGCCCCCTTCCGCTCCCCACCCCGCCCTCCTGGGCCCCCCACCCAGCCCAGCCAGCCAGAGACCTGCCTCTAGGTGGGTGGGAGGAGACCTTCAGTCCCTCTCCCCGGGCCTGTTGTCACTACCTTCCCCAAACACACTGGTTAAAGTCACCCGATTAGAAGGGGCCACCTGTGAGACTTGGATTCAGAGCAAACTAGTGGAAGCTGAAGGGTCTTTGGGCTTCCCAGGCCCCTCGGAGGCCAGGATGGTGGGGGAGGAGGGAGCGCTCAGTGTCAGGCCTACTGCCTGCGGGGGCCGGCTCCCTACAGGACGCTTCTCCTATACTTTCCACCTGCTGCGAGGAAGGGCTGGGGGCGGGCATACCCATTTTCCAGAGGAGAACTGAGGGCTCTCACCCCGGCTTAGGCCAGTGGCCAGTGGCAGAGCCGGACCTTGAACCTGGCTTTCTGGATTTTCATCCAGGCCATTCTAAAGGTACTGCAGGGATGGCAGAGAGGGCCTGTCTGGGGGAGGGGAATAGGGGCAGAGCCAGGGCCAGGGCTGCAGAGGGAGGCTGAGGGGTTGGGGGGATGCAGAGGCAAAGATCTTCCATGGAAATGTGGAGTAGGGACTGGGGGCATACCTTCCTGGCCTCAGTAGCAGGGATGCCTGGTTAGGAGGGAGATTAGACTGAGTGACCCCAGGGCCCAGGCTTTGGGGGCAGATAGATCCATCCAAGTTCATCCAAGTTCATGTTGACTCTGACCTAAGGCATGACACCTAATTTCTCCAAGCCAGTTTCCTCATTTGTAATGTGTGGTTGATAAATAGTCCATAACTCATGGAGGTGCTGTGAGATTTAAGTGACTTTGATTTAACATGTACCAAGCTCGTAGCTAATACATGGTGCCTGGCACACAGTCCACTTATCATTCTTGTCAAAACTCACTTAAAAGCTATCCTGCCAGGCTGGGTGCCATGGCTCATGCCTGTAGTCATAGCACTTTGGGAGGCTGAGATGGGAGGCTAGTGGAGGTCAGGAGTTTGAGACCAACCTGGGCAACATTGGGAGACCCTGCCCTGTGTCTACAAAAATTTAAAAATTAGCTGGGTGTGGTGGTGCACACCTGGAGTCCCAGCTACTTGGGAGGCTGCAGTGTGAGGATCTCTTGAGCCTGGAAGGTTGAAGATGCAGTGAGCCATTACCATCCCACTGCATTCCAGCCTGGGTGACAGAGCGAGACTCTGTCCTCCCCCCCAAAAAAAAGCTTGCTGGCAACAATTTTTGTTTTATTTTTATTATATATATAGAGAGAGACAGGGTCTTGCTCTTGTGATGGTTTATTTTAAGAAGAAGGGGGTAATCAATATATACCAAAGAAAGATATATTGGTGGGTTTCTCTGGGTTTGATAATTTTCAAATTAAAAATTGGGAGACAAGAGGCCTCTGCTTGGGGCAGAGCTCGGAGCATTTCCCAGGTTCCTGGTCCAGCAAAACGTGGGCAGGACTTAGTTCTCTCCTGTTTGCGACCCGCCCACTTCCCACCCAGTCCCAGTTTCCAGAGCCAGTGAGAAGTGCAGGAAGGAGAGGCCCAAGATGAGAAGGGCAGGAAGGAGAGGCTCAAGATGACAAGTGCGGGAAGGAGAGGCCCAAGATGAAGCCCCACTCTGCTTGGCCCTGGCTGGGCCTTCCCACACTTGCACCATCTCACTCAAGGCAGGGATTCTTAGGAGCCCATCTTATGCATGCGCAAACTGAGCCCAGAGAGGAGAATGGACTGGCCCAAGGTCATAAAGCAAGGAAGGAGTGGGCTGCAGGACAGCCTCCGGACCCCAACGCTGCCAGTCTCCTTTGTGTGGCTTCCGGCCCTCCTCACCGTGCCTTTCCTGTCCCACCCCAAATTTCTTTCTGTATCTTAAGCAACCACCTTCCCATCTTTGGTGATGCCCCTGCCCTGGCGCCTCCAGCCCAACTCCCTCCCTTCCAGGGGATCACATTTTCCAGGAGTCACTCCTGAAGATGATCAAGCACCATGGAGGGGCAGGGCATCCATGGACCCCGATTTGAGGTCCCTGAGCGGTTGGGACTGGTTTGGGCCACGGCTGGTCTAATCTCCCCGCCGCAGAGCCTGGGCATTGTCCAGCTGGCAGCCAAGGGCCATCCATCCGCTTTACAGAAGGCAGCTTTGACAAGCTGCTTGTTTCCAAGGACAAAGCCTGCAGGCTGTGGGTAGGCGATAGCCACTGCGGACCTCGGGCTCATTGCCTGGGTACAGGGGGTGGGGAGCCTGAGGTCTGCCAGGACCCAAGGGAGCCTCGAGGGTGGCCTGAGGACATTGGGTCCTCACTCTTGGCCCCTCAGCCAAACCCCCCATAGCCCAGGGCCAGGAATTTTGGAAGGAAGAGCCAGCCACTGGGGTGTTTTCAGTTTTGGGGTCACCCTGATCCCCCCAGAATTGAGGCTTGGCCATCAACCAGCTTTTATGTGACCCAGGCATTGTCTCTTTACTCTGTTTCTTTTCTACAGAATGTTGAGAGTCACCTCTTTCTCTCGGGGACATAAAGCATGGCTGTGAGAAGAGATTTGTGAGTGTTGGGGTCACTGTCGTTTTTCTCTGAGCGGGCTTGGCTCCTGCTCTGTAGACAAAGTGGGATCCCTTCCCCTCCCTCACGCCCCTACAAACTTTGGGCCTCGAGAATCCGGGATGGGCCCAGAACCAGCACTGGCACAGCCTTCTCTTTGGCCTGCTCCAACCCCTCTCCCACACAGCAGTCGGGCTGATCTTCCTAAAATTTCCGTCTATTCAGCTTACATTAAAAAAAAATAGGCCGGGCGCGGTGGCTCAAGCCTGTAATCCTAGCACTTTGGGAGGCCCAGACAGGTGGATCACGAGGTCAGGAGATCAAGACCATCCTGGCTAACATCGTGAAACCCCGTCTCTACTAAAAAAATTCAAAAAAAAAAAAAAACTAGCCGGGCGTGGTGGCGGGTGCCTGTAGTCCCAGTTACTCGGGAGGCTGAGGCAGGAGAATGGCATGAACCCGGGAGGCGGAGCTCGCAGTGAGCTGAGATCCGGCCACTGCACTGTAGCCTGGGCGACAGATCGAGACTCCATCTCAAAAAAAAAATAAAATAAAAAAAAATAAAATAAAATAATAAAATAATAATAATAACATTTCTATCTGATTTTGTCTCTCCCCTGCTCAAAATCCTTCTGTGGCTCCCTAGTGCCTCCAGGAGAAAGTCCACCCTTCCTCCCATGGCTCACCCAGTCTACCCAGCTGTGGCTCCTTCACTGTGCCTCTTCCCCTTACCTTCCAGCCAGAGTGAAATCCCCAGGCCTCTGCGTGCGCCGTTCCCTCCGCTTAGGAATAGGCAGAACTGGTCTTTTCTGGTTCATTTCCACTTATCCTTCAGGTTTCTAGGGTGCTTTCCCTGATCTTGGCTTAAACTGGCTCAGGAATCCCCTGATCTCCGCAAATATCACGAACTTGTCCACCCGCCTGCCCCCTGCACCCAGGTTACGTTTGACAAAGTGAGCACTTTGGAATGCTCCAACAGACCTAGTCACACCCAGACAGATGCCTTGCGTGTGTGTTTCAGGGTGGTGGTGCTGGGGACAGTGGGAAGGGACTCTGCCTCATGGACCCCCAAGGCCTGACACCTGCACTGCTGCTTGTGGCCACCGGAGGGCGAAACAACGATTTTGTGCCAACCTGCAGCTGGCCCCTCCTCAGCCTGGGAGAAAAGAGCAGCCCCTCCCCCCCACTCTCACCTGTCCCCACCTGTCACTGAGGCAGCTCCGGAAGTAAAACATGGAAGCAGCTGGTACAATGGCCTTGAGCTGGGAGTCAGAACCTCTGCCTACCCTCAACCCCCATTCCAGGCCCCTCTCTGCCACCAACCAGTGTAGAGACCTGAATAAGTCACGTCTCTGCTGTTGGTTTCAGATGATCTGTGACGCGCCTGGCCTGGAGCCTGGCACACAGCAGGTGCCCAGTAAATACCTATTTGGCGGGGCGCGATGACTCAACGTCTATAACCCCAGCACTTTGGGAGGCCGAGGAGGGTGGATCACCTGAAGTCAGGTGTTTGATACCATCCTGGCCAACATGGCGGAATCCTGTCTCTACTAAAAATACAGAAGTTAGCTGGTTGTGGTGGCGCATGCCTGTAATCCCAGCTACTGGCGAGGCTGAGGCAGGAGAACCTAGGAGGTGGAGGTTGCAGTGAGCCGAGATCATGC